TCTCATGCTCTAAATCAGTGGTTCTCAACCTGTGGGTCGGGACCCCATTTGGGGTCGAATGACCATTTCATGGGGGTCGCCAAACGACGCAGTCTGCCATTTTTCCCCCCCTATTCCTTAGCTGTGCTACTCCCTTTTATTCTATTGGCTTTTGAAAGCCAATCGAATAGACTCTCTTGAATAGAGTCTAATTCTATTGGCTTTCAAAAGCCAATAGGAATTGTCCAGGCTGTCTCTGCCCTGCTGAGCCTGCCAAAAGTCCCATTCTGCAAACGGTGCTGCACCAGTTGAGTAGTCCTCGATTTACGACCAGTTGGGGGTCGCGGCATTAAAAAGGTTGAGAACCACTGCTCTAAATTCTCATTCTTGCTTTTTGTGATTCTATCTTGTGCATTATGGGTTGTTGTTTTTTTTGCACAGCAGTTATTGAACATCCCTTGGTCTACAAGCTGTACACATGTTGAAGAGTTAAAGTCTCCCTTCTTTATTTTAGAATGTCATTTAGACCAAGAAGGCAAATATCCTTTCTTAAAATGCTTTTATCTGGGGGTTTTACTTTAAAGGCTGAGTTATTTCAAAGGAGGGAGGCTAAAGACTTTTCTCCACAGAGACATCCATGGAGATTCTCAATCATCCAGGTCATGGTTGTCCCAAAAGTGAATCCCCCCCCCCAAAAAACCATAATCGGACTTTGTGTGTGTTTTTTTAAAGCATTTTGCTTCTCATCCAAGCTTAGAACTCAAGAAGCTTCTTGGATGAGAAGTGAAACGTTTTCAAAGGAAAAGAAAGAGAAAGAAAGAAAGAAAGAGAAGGAAGGAAGGAAGGAAGGAAGAAAGAGAAAGAAAGCAGGAAGGAAGGGAAAGAAAGGAAGGAAGGAAGGAAGGAAAGAAAGAAAGAAAGAAAGAAAGGAAGGAAGGAAAGAAAGAAAAAAAAAGAAAGAAAAGGCAGGAAGGGAAAGGAAGGAAGGAAGGAAGAAAGAAGGGAAAGAAAGGAAGGAAGGAAAGAAAGAAGAAAGAAAAAGAAAGAATGGAAGGAAAGAAAGAAAGAAAGAAAGAAAGAAAGAAAGAAAGAAAGGAAGGAAGGAAGGAAGGAAGGAAGGAAGGAAGGAAGGAAGGAAGGAAGGAAGGAAGGAAGGAAGGAAGGAAGAAGGAAAGATCCAGTTGCCTTTTAGGGAAAAAAAAGCACCTTTGGGATCTGCACAAAGCTCTTCACATTTTGAATTTCTCACTCCTAGAATTGACCAAAAGGTTTATTTATTATTAAACTTATATGCCACCCGTCTGGCTAGAGGCCACTCCAGGTAGCTACAACCCTTCGGCTGTCCAGGTGAGAGACTCCACCATCCAGTGCTTATGTGCCTGAGGTGTCCCTGGAAAGCCTGCCTGGATGCTTACATCCCTTTCAAGAGACGGGGAGCACTGACCGAAAATAAGAGCTGCAGCTACAGAGAATGTTCTTATGAGCATTGAATTCACACCCGTTGACTTTGATGATGACGTCACAGAGTTTCCCTTCCAGCCGAAGTTCATTGAAGACCGTACAGGCCATCGCGCTCATCTTCCGCTCCATGTGGCGATAGGAGTACCCCGCCGAAGCAGAGGCATCATCCATTTTTTCAAAGTGGGGGAGGCACCGGGAAGAGCTGCCAGGCCTTCCACTTTAACCCTCCTCTTGGAAAAAAAGGGTGTGATTGGTCCAGGGGTTCCAGAACCGCCTCCCATAATGAGGCCCTTGACATGACCAGGTTCTAGAACTCCAGCTGCCCTCGGACGCGAGCAAGCTCATTGCCTTCACATGAGGGAGAGGGTGGTGTTGGCCGTCTAGAGGGCTCCCCAATGTCTATGGAGATTCTCAGTCATCCAGGTCATGGATGGCCTGGAGGCTAAAACGTATCAGGAACGGTTGCAGGAAATGGGCATGGGCTGGTTTAATGAAGAGAAGGACGAGGGGGGACATGATAGCAGTGTTCCGATATCTCAGGGGCTGCCCCAAAGAAGAGGGAGTCAAGCTATTCTCCAAAGCACCTGAAGGCAGGACAAGAAGCAACACATGGAAACTAATCCAGGAGAAGCAACCTGGAACTAGGGAGAAATTTCCTGACAGTGAGAACAATTAACCAGTGGAACAACCTGCCTCCAGAAGCGGTGAATGCTCCAATCCTGGAAGTTTTTAAGAAGAGACTGGACAGCCGTTTGTCTGAAATGGTGTAGGTTGAGCAGGTTGTTGGACTAGAAGACCTCCAAGGTCCCTTCCAACTCTTGATATTCTGTTATGATTGTCCCAAAGGCCCTTTTCCAAAAGGCAACTGGACTTTCTTGGTGTTTTTTTTTTCCTGGAAAACATTTTGCTTCTCATCCAAGAAGCTCCTTCAGTTCTAGAGGGTTCCACTGATTCCAATCAAAAGGAATCATGCTTGGATGGTCAACCTCTCCTTGGAGGAGAAAAGACAGCTGAAGATGAGGCACAGCACGCTTTTTCCAGGAGTACTGAAATGCTTTAAAAGGACTGGTGCTGGAAAACCAGTAGGGTTCAGCCTTGACACCCAGATTGTATATCTACAGATAGAAGAGTTTGAAGTTCAGGGTTGAACTGTGGGGTTTTTGGTGCTCTTTGAGGTTGGTGGCTTTCTTGCAGATATTTCATTACCCAAACTAGGTAACATCATCAGTGCTGGAAGGGAGGGGGCTTTGTGGAGTGGGAGAGGAGGAGGAGGACTGTGGGATCCTTGGTGCTCTCTGAGCTTGGTTGTTTTCTTGCAGACATTTCATTACCCAACTAGGTAATATCAGTGCTGGAAGGGAGTGGACTTTGTGGAGTGGGAGAGGAGGAGGAGGAGGAGGAGGAGGAAGAAGAAGAAGCAGAAGATTGTGGAGTCCTTGGTGTTCTCTGAGCTTGGTGGTTTTCTTGCAGATATTTCACTACCCAACTAGGTAACATCATCAAGGCTAGAAGGGAGTGGGCTTTGTGGAGGAGGAGGAGGAGGAGGAGGAGGAGGAGGAGGAGGAGGAGGAGGAGGAGGAGGAGGATGACTGTGGGGTCCTTAGTGCTCGATGAGCTTGGTTGTTTTCTTGCAGACGTCTCATTACCCAACTAGGTAACATCATCAGTGCTAGAAGGGAATGGAGTTTGCTCTTATTTTTATATACTAATTATATATTGGAGGTTCCTTGATTAGGTTGTTGTTTACGGTTGGATTATTTGTCTATGTTGGCAGTTCCTTGATTGTACCACTTGTTTACAATCAAGGAAACAAGGAAGTAAACAAGGAATCAAGGAACTAGTAACACACATAATCAACAGTAGACAACAGCCTAAGCAACTTTGGTGGGGTTTTTTTTGGAATTCATATTTTAAACTTTTTGAATAAAAATACCGTAATCAGAAACAGGATTTTCCAACTCTTAAGATGAATCTCGCTAGCCAAATTTTCACAATGCTACTTCAGCCTCCATGATGAAACATTCAAATGTAGATCTATTTTAACGGCTGATATTATTCCGTTTTCATCTTTCAACGAATCTTTTGAATTTAAATACTTCACTGTTGCATTTTCTTGTAAGTTCCCCATGGCAAGGTTTTCTTTAAAATGAGAGGGGTATAATAATGGCTAAAAACAAAATCCTAGGGAGTTGATCTCCATAACATCAGCTACAAATCAGGTCAGATCAGTTCATAAAAATTGCTATTCCATAGCTATGCTATCATTTTAGAAGGGGGAAAAAGAGAAATCAGGAAAAAAGGTCATACTGTATAGGGAAGGGTTGATTAAAGAGTTCATAGAGCAGTAATAGACATTATTCTTAACAGAATAAGAGAGGTGGAAGCCACCTTAAAGGTCTACTAGTCCAACCCCCTGCTCAAGCAACAAATCCTATACCATTTCAGATAAATGGCTGTGGTTTCTTCTTAAAAACCTCCAGTGTTGGAGCACCCACAACTTCTGGAGGTAAGCTGTTCCATTAATTGTTCTCCGGAATAGCAGAATAGCAGAGTTGGAAGAGACCTTGGAGATCTTCTAGTCCAACCCCCAGCTCAAGCAGGAGACCCTATACCAGGGGCAGGCAACCTTGGCTCTTTTATGAATCGTGGACTTCAGCTCCCAGAATTCCTGAGCCAGCATGGCTCAGCTTGGAAAGCTCTCCCTTTCCCCTCAGCATGGCTGGCTCAGGAATTCTGGGAGTTGACGTCCAGGAGTCATAAAAGAGCCAAGGTGGCCTACCCCTGGTCTAGGTCTTTAGGCAGCACAGGGACCCCCAAGTTGACTGAAGATGTGAAATCTAATTTGCTCAAATCAGTGCTGGGTACGGGGCCCATTGAAAAGAAATTGGTCCTGCTTCCTTCACGATACTTCAAAACGTGTTGTGTGTCCCTTTCTGAACAATCCAGTTGACCTGTGCCATGATTGGCAAGTGTGTCCTTCTAAACCAGGTGTAGGCAACCGTGGCTCTTTTATGACTCGTGGACTTCAGCTCCCAGAATTCCTGAGCCAGCATGGCTCAGCTTGGAAAGCTCTCCCTTTCCCCTCAGCGTGGCTGCCTCAGGACTTCTGGGAGTTGAAATCTACACAGCTTAAAGTTGCTGAGGCCGAGGAATACTGGTGTAACAAGAATAAGGCTATAATTCTATATACACTCAAGACTAAATTCTGTTAGATCAGATGGACTTATTTTTAAGACTGGTAAGAACACAACCAAATATTTTTCCCGTTTAAAAACTGTAGGAGCTTGCTAAGAACAGAGGATCTCTAAAGTTATTCTCCTCAGTGTTCTTGTTTCGTTACTCTGCATGAAATCCTAAAACTATTTTCATAAAATATAAAACCCTCTCTTGTGCAGCCCCAACCATACCTTCTCCAGCTGTGAGCTGGAAATTTAACTTTTGGCCCAGATGAGATTCTGAGGTCTCCTTTTTGAGGACAGAGCCTCAATCCTGTCCTGTAGCTGGCCAGTTATTTAGAAACCTTTATACAGAAAGTTTTGCAAATGCAAACGAACAAGCGGTTAAGTTTCACTTTGTTTAATTCGGTATCAAAAGAACTGCCTGAAACTTTCTGGAGCCATCCTGGCTAATAAAGCAGGTTTTGTACAGAACCATGGTTAACAACAAACTGCCTCCACAGCAGCACATTAGAAGGAAAGGTCTAAGTGAAGTTTTCTAGCAGAATCTCCTGAGCATGTGGCTGTGCTGGTTTTTGTTTTGTTTTTTTTTGTTCCAAGGAAGCAGAAAAATTACAGTCCATTTTGGAACACCCAACCTGCTGTGGTTTCACGGCAGTTATCTAGATTAGCAACCACAGTGACTGTCTCCTTCCATTTCCCCCCCCCCCTCCCCAAGTGAGGTTCTTAGTTTTAGGCAGCTCCCAGGTTTTGGGGGCTCAACAGACATAAACATTCTTTTTGACTTCAGGTGTATTCGCAAACATGACCGCATCCTGTAGGGCAGTGGGAGCTGGTTTCCAGCCATTTCATGATATGCTGCAGATGACCACCGTGACTGCAGCCTTGGCACCACACAAAGAGGCCCTTGACCACATGGTGGCACACGGCACACATGCTGGCACACTGCCGGCACCTGGAAGAGACCGGAAAGAGAGAAGGGCTGAAGGACACAGGTGGAGTTGCAGGGGAAGAGCAGAGCCTCAGGCCCCAGAGTGATTCCAATCTTTCTTCAGTTATGAAGCTCAGCCTGTTATTTGACCTATTCTCTCTCTCTCTGTCTCTTTATCTTTCTTTCTCTCTCTCTGCCTCTCTCTGTCTCTGACATTTTCTTTCTCTCTTTCTGTCTCTGACTCTTTCTCTTTCTCTCTGTCTCTGACTTTCTCTTTTTCTTTCTTTCTTTCTCTCTGCCTCTGTCTCTGACTTTTTCTTTCTGTCTCTTGACTCTTTTTCTCTTTGTCTGTCTCTGACTTTCTTTTTCTTTCTCTCTGCCTCTCTGTCTTTGACTTTCTTTCTGTGTCTGACTTTCTTTTTCTTTCTCTTTCTTTCTCTCTCTCTGCCTCTGACTTTTTCTTTCTCTCTTTCTGTCTCTGACTTTCTTTCTCTGTCTCTGACTCTCTCTTTTTCTTTCTTTCTTTCTCTCCGCCTCTCTCTATCTCTGACTTTTTCTTTCTGTCTCTTGACTCTTTCTTTCTTTCTGTCTGTCTCTGACTTTTTTTCTTTCTCTCTGCCTCTGTCTTTGACTTTCTTTCTGTCTTTCTTTTTCTTTCTCTTTCTTTCTCTCTCTCTCTGCCTGACTTTTTCTTTCTCGCTGTTTCTGACTTTTGTCTTTCTCTGACTTTCTTTTTCTTTTTCTCTCTGTCTGACTTTCTTTCTTTCTTTCTTTCTTTCTTTCTTTCTTTCTTTCTTTCTTTCTTTCTTTCTTTCTTTCTTTTCTCAGCCTAGACTATTTCACAAACTTTGGAGAAGGAACAGGACACATACAGGTAGTCCTTGACATAAGCCCAACATTTCTGTTGTTAAGTGAGACATTTGTTAAGCGAGTTTTGCCCTATTTTATGACCTTTTTTGCCACAGTGGTTAAGTGAACTGTTGCAGTTGTTACATTAGTAACATGGTCGTTAAGTGAATCCAGCTTCCCCATTGACCTTGCAAGTCAGACGGTCGCAAAAGGGGATCATGTAACCCCGGGACACTGCAACCGTCATAAGTACATGCCAGTTGCCAAGCGTCCGAAATTTGATCACGTGACCCCAGGGAGATACTGCAACAGTCGTGTGACGAATGGTCATAAGTCACTGCAACAGTCGTAAGTGTGACAAATGGTCACAAGTCACTTTTCCCAGTGCCGTTGTAACTTCGAACGGTCACTAAACAAACTGTCAGTCGTGGGTTAGCTGTACCCATACAGGCTGTGTGTTAGCAGCCGTGAGCTTCTCACCGGTCGCAGATCCAGCCCTTGTTGCTCATGGGCCGCTTGCAGTTGCTGCAGTTGATGTGCAGGGTGGTGGAGGCCTGGTTGAGGCAGTGGATGGCCCTGCAGGTGCTCAGTTTGATCACTTCGTTGGAGATGTTCCACAGCTGGAACCGCTGCAGCAGGTCAATGTAGGACATGTACCAATGTTCCTGTGGAAACGGAAGACAACGGTATTGTGGCATCCCGAACTTCAGAAGCCCATTGCGTGTTTCTCCCAAGACTCAGAAGCATTTATATGGTTTACAGGTAATCCTTGCTTAGCATAACATTTGAAGTTAATGACGGAACTACCCGAAGCTACTTATGACCCAGATCTGGAATTCCAACGGCTCTACCACCCCCATGGACACATGACTGCATTTCAGGCACTTGGCAACCAGCTCACCTTTGCGGCCAGTTTCATGGTCCTGTGACCATGATTTAGGATGCTAGATGACCAAGTGGGACGGTTGAGAATGCATTTTGGTGTTTTTCAACCTTTTCCTTGCAAAACAAGACCATAGGAGTACATTAATTGGCTTAATAACTGCAGCAACAACAAAACAAATCGTAAAATTATTCCCGTCACGTGGCTGCCTTGACTTCACGACTGTATGACTTACGACGGAAATTCCGACCTCTGTTAAAATGAGAGAGTCGGGGGCTCCCTGTATTGACATGTTTGCTTTTTCGGCTCAAAACTACGGCTAAATTAAAAGGGAGAATCTCACCAGGATGTTCAACTAGTGGGGTGAAAGGAAAAAGGAACGCAGCAGTTGGGCATTTTCTCTGCACGTGAAAATGGATGGACGTGGGTTCCATCCCGGTTTTAGCCCAGCAACTATCAGCCAATGCAAAGTCACCAAGTAGCAACTGCTTAGGTGCCATGGAAGGAGGGCAGAGGTGCCCAATGCAATAGGTTAAACAGCGGAAACCTTCCAGGATGGTGACCCTTTCCACACAGGAGTTGTGCCATTTTCTAAAACCAGAAGTCAAATGATGTTGGAGTCAAATGCTCTCTTTTGCAGGATTCGTTAAGCAATTGCTGCAGTCATTAAACGAACCATTGGTTCACTACGGCTGCAATTTTGCTAAACAAACAAACAAACAAACCCCAAATGCCAATTTTGGGCAAAACCACAGTAAAACACATTCATGCGACCACAGGTAAGGAATGCAGCCCAATTTCGGAATGCCCAAAGTTTAGACATGTGACTGCAGAGGGGAGGATCATAGTCACCGGAAGTTCGGATCTGGATCATAAGGTTGGGCATAACCACGAACGGTTACGAACAGACCGGTTTGTAAATCAAGGACTGCTTGTATTTCTTTTCCTATGTCCCTCGCTTGAGTAGGGCGAGTAAAAAGGCAGCAATGAAAAGCAGCAGCAGTGGGCAAGGTTTTTCTCTAGCGCATCCTACTGGGACAGGAGACTTAGCTGGTGCTTGACTGATTACCTGTGGATATAGGCAGGGCTTTTCAACTTTTTCACCCATTGTACCACTTTTAGGATATCGCAATATCCGAGTACCCCCAGTTGCCTAGCAAGGTGTCAAAAACTTCACATGATCCTGGGACACTGTGACCGTCATAAATATGAATCAGCTGCCAAGCATCTGAATGTAAAGCACAAGACCCTGGAGAGGCTTCAACATTCCAGCTGATCGGCGCTTCTTCTGGACTCAGCAGAAGCGCCAGGATCAGTGCTGCTTTCCAGCTGATTGGTGCTTCTTCAGGGCTCAGCAGAAGGGCCAGGATCAGCGCCGAGCTCCAGCTGGAGCCAGGCGCTGATCCTGGCGCTTCCGCTGAGCCCTGACAGCCCTGCAGCTCCAGCCGTCTCTCGTTCAGGCTTGTGCGGTGCTGCCACCGGTTCAGCTCATTCCCCTCCCCTGCTTCCACTTTTCTAGGATGGTGGCGTACCACCTGCCAGGTGCCAATGGACCACAGGTTGAAAAGCCTTGGATATACGTACCTGTGTCTGGTCATCAATCCCCTTCTTGATGCGATCCCCCAGCACAATCAGGATCGACACGGCCATCTGGACATCTCCCTGCTCGGCATAGAAGAGCAGCATGTCATGGACAATGGGGTTGAAGAAATCAGCCGGCAGGCGATTCTCGTAAAGGGAGTGTGAAATGGAAATGAGGGAGAACGATTCCACAGGAGTGAGTGAAATGGTCTCCGCCTCGTTGCCACTGACGTGGGGTGAGTCGGCTTTGTCCTGCAGATGGTCCAGTGCAGAGGGGTTGTCTACAATCTCGTGGCGTAAAGGAAAGGCTTCCTGAGGAAGGATATACTCTTGTTCTTCGGCTGAGGGAAGATAACGGAACCATGAAGGAGAAAGAAAGCAGATCCAAACCCCTCCATTCTCTCCTCCTATAGAATATTGTTTTATACAGCTTATAAGACTAATTGGTTTCACACTGTCGTCTTTTGTTTGCCTCCTAACTGCTCTGCCCCTTGGGAGTGCTCATCGAGCACTGGATAATGAAAAAGGAATTTTTTATTATTTTTATTTACGTTCAATGGAGAGAAAGGGATTACAAGAGAGTAAGCAGGCACACAACAGAGAATACACATCGAAAGCAATGCTCTGACACCCAGCAGCCATGAGCATGCTTGATAAACCGCCTTGTATCCCCCATTGTGTGCCTGCTTACTCTCTTGCAATCCCTTCTTCTCCGATCTCTCTGCTCTGCAGAGAGAGAAGAAAAGAAAAACAACAGATTAGGCATTAAAGTAGGACAGGCACTCACTGTGAGGATTCTCATGGTCCATCATGTACAGATCATCTTCATCAGCTTCCACATCGCCCAGGAGATAATCGGCAGGAACGTCACTTCCTTCTGTCTCTTCGTTCTCTAGACATCCAGGAAAAAAAAAATGCTTACAAGGAGAGTCACAGAGTTGGATGGAGCTGTTTTGGCCACAGAATTCAGCTTCCTGTTCAGTGCAGATTAAAGCACCTCTGATCAATAGCAGTCTACCACCCGTCTAGGCTCCACTTGAACAAAAACAATTGAGAAAAGTTCATTCCTTCCTCCAAGATTTGCTGTTGTGCTACTTAGACGTTTGATCAGAATCTGCCTTCATCTACCATGGATCCATTGTTCCATGTCCTAGACACCAGAAGGAGATTGTAGCTTCCTTTAGGAAACCCCTCTTTGGGTATTGAATGAATGGTGTCATGCAGGTAGTCCTCGACTTATAACCCTTTGTTTAAGGACCGTTTGAAGTTACAGTTGCACTGAAAAAGTGTAACTGGTTCTGGCACATATAACCATCGCAGCGTCCCCATGTCACGTGACCAGGCCACCAGCATGCATTTACAATGGTTGCAGCATCCTGGGGTCATTGGCGACCTTCCAACAAGCAAAGTCAGTGGGAAAAACTGGATTAATGATCACGTGATTCACTTAAGGAACGCAGTGGTCCACTCAACAAGCAGGACTAAAGGTCATAAAATTGGGCATGGCTGACTTAGCAACCGCCTTGCTTGGCAACAGAAATTCTGGTCTCAAATTGTATTTCGCTTCTTCTATATTTTGCTCCTTCGGCCCTCTTTTGCCTGGACTGAATATACCCATTTCCCTTGTACAGCTGTCCATCCCCCCCCCCCTAGGTCTGCTCACCATCATTATTGATCAGAGTTGAGGATGAATCCATGAGAATGGCTTCGGAACGGTTCTCCGCCTTGGTCCTCTCCAGCCGTGACTCGGTGCCTATTCCAGAGGGAATATCTTTCAAGTTAAAGCTGGGAGAGAAGCAGAAAAGGCTGAATAGTCCATAGTAAAAAATTTCCTTCCTATATCCCCTTCTTCTAGTTCTCCACCTGTGGGTCGGGACCCCATTTGGGGTCGAACGACCATTTCATGGGGGTCGCCAAACAACGCAGTCCGCCATTTTTTCCCCCTTTTCCTTAGCTGTGCTACTCCCTTTTATTCTATTGGCTTTTGAAAGCCAATAGAATAGACTCTCTTGAATAGAGTCTAATTCTATTGGCTTTCAAAAGCCAATAGGAATTGTCCAGGCTGTCTCTGCCCTGCTGAGCCCGCCAAAAGTCCCATTCTGCAAACGGGGCTGCACCAGTTGAGTAGTCCTCGACTTACAACCGGTGGAGTAGTCCTCGACTTATGACCGGTTGGGGGTTGCGGTATTAAAAAGGTTGAGAACCACTGTTCTATATATCCGCAATGCTTGCAATTTTGGATAAGTGCGATTGTTTTTAATTCTGAGCTTGTCGCCAGCTGAGCTATCTTTATCTATTTAACATAATTTCTTATTTTTCTTTGTTCTTATCTTGCTTTGTTATCTCTACTATTTTTTGTTGGCTTTCTGTCGTTTTCTAGTTTTAATGTTTAATAATTTGTAAACTGCCCAGAGTTGCTGGGCAGTTGGGCAGCTTAGAAATCTCACGTAATCACGGCAACAGGTCCTTGGGAAGGACTCGAAAAGCAAGTATAAAATACCAAATCCAGTCTACCATTTGGCTGAGTGTGTGATGAACCAAAACAATAATATTATGTGGCTACCGATCTTATATACATGACTCTGGGTAGCCAACAAAAGAAAAAACAGCAAAACCAAACCCAAAATTAAAAATAATAGGGCAGCCAAGAATGCTCCTATTCCATATTTAATATAACCAGGCTTACCCACATTATATCAGTACAAACACAGACTAATCAGCAATGTCTTTGAATTATCTGATTTACCATTTTGTAATATTTCCTGTTGGCATTTGGCAAAACCTCCAAGGATTGGCTGTTCCAGAGTCTTTAGGCAGTGCTTCTCAACCTTAACATCTTTAAGATGGGTGGACTTAGGCTCCCAGACTCCTAATCTAAATGGGGGCTACGGGGCCTCACCTGGATATGCCCCAGGTCACCCTTGAGTGTACATGTCCCGCAATGCAAGCCCCTCCCCTTCTCTTTACCTATTCATGAGTGGAAGGTTAGAGCTACTTTTCCCCAGGCTGTGATTGAGGTTCGTGGTAGGGACGATGTTAGGGCTTGAATAAATAATCCGGAGCATTGTCCATGTCTGAGCGACCTGGAGAAAAAGAACAGAAAAGGCTAAGAAATTACCAGCTAGGTCTGTCAGCTGAAGGACTGTAAACCAACCCTCTAGCACAGTGATGGTGAACCTTTTAGAGACCGAGTGCCCAAAAACTGGCCCCGCCCCGATTTGACCCCTTGGACCGCCCCTCCTCTGCCCCCACCCCATCCTCTGCCCTGCCTGCCCGCAGGGCCACTCACCGCCTCCAGGGCCCGCTGCAGATCACCCAGGCAGCCCAGCGGCACCATGGCGGCCACGCCCTCTGCCCGCGCCCCGCAGCATCAACTGTGCGCGATGGGCGTGAGAGCAGAGTCTTGTCTACGCTGCCTGGCTGCCATGTCTTTGGCTGCGCTGCTCCGCATGGGCCACACTCAGGGGCGACTCTCCTCCAGGGGGGCTGCTGGTGAGGAGGGGGTCGCGGGGGAGGCGAGGCTGGGGCACTGGCATACATGCCTACAGAGAGGGCTCCGAGTGCCACCTCTGGCACGCATGCCATAGGTTCGCCACCACTGCTCTAGCAGATTGTCTCTCAACCCTAGCCACTTTTAAGAGGTGTGGATTTTAATTCCCATGTTGGCTAGGGAATTCTGGGAGTTGAAGTCCACCTGTTGGACTGGACTTTAGCCTAGACTCGACTAGAATTCTTTATTGGCCAGCTGGGATTGGACACACAAGACATTTATCTCCGGTGCATAAGCTCTCAGTGTACAACAAAGTGACAGGACACAGATCAGTGATGGCGAACCTATGGCACGGGTGCCAGAGGCGGCACCCAGAGCCCTTTCTGTGGGCACGTGCGCCATCGCCCCAGTCCTAGGCCTTCAGCTGGGTTTTATAAAACCTTTTCACTTTAGGCCTCCGCCGCCGTGTACAAAAAAAAAAAAAGGTTCAATCAATCAGTCAATTTCAACTTCTCGCGGGGAAAAAAAAGACCTTGCAAAGTTGGAACTGATTGATTGAACTTTTTAGTCCCACCCAGTCTGCTGTTACCACCACAGCCATGCCCACCCGGCACTCAATGATGCATAAGTGGGTTTTGGGTTGCAGTTTGGGCACTCGGTCTCTAAAAGGTTCGCCATCACTGACATAGATCATAAAGCATATTCACAATCATTAATCCTAAGATACAAACCACAAGTGATAAATCACAAAATGCCGATAGGAGAAGATAGTAGGAAAGATGAGAAGATGAGAAAGAAGAGAAGGATAATAGCAATATAGCCCTACTTAGTCCTAAACATACAACAATAATTTTAGGACTAAGAAAGTGCTGTGGGAATTAGATGTTCGGCAGAGTGAGGGCACAGGGGAAAAAACTCCCTTTGTGTCTAGCTGTTTGGGGAAGCAATGCCCTATAGCAGCATCCTGAGAGGAGAAGTTGAAATAGTTTATGTCCAGGATGCGAGGGGGTCTGTAGATATTTTCACAGCCCTCTTTCTTGCTTGTGCAGTATACAGGTCCTCAATGGAAGGCAGGCTGGTTGCGATTGCTTTTTTCTGCAGTCCTAACTATCCCTTGAAGAAACACTGCCCTAAGGGATGAAGCCCTGAACTAAAACAGCCACATGAAGAGATGGAACTTTACCTGGTTGCGCTTAAGCTCTTTGGCTACTTTGGCGTTGTGGTCACACAGCTCTGCCAGCGGCCGCCCGGTCAGGAGGTACTGTTTGGCAGTCCGCACAAACCAATCCATGCTGCTGGCATCGCAGCCGGCGTCTGCTTCGAAGACGCTGAGGGCGCTGGAGGAGGAGACGAACTCAAACTGCTCCGCGGGGTCCAGCTTCCGCTTGAAGAAGATGGGGTGACGGCGGTCCCCGAGGTAGGGCTTCCGGTTTGAGTCGGAGGAAATGAGGCTCTCCTTGGCCGCAAAAGCCAGGTCTCCAAAGAGGCTGTAGCAGAGACCCTCCGGGTTTGCCCGTTCGATCGGCTGGCTGGCATCCTTGAAGATGTGCTGGTAGAGAGTGCTGTCCTTGGATCCCGAGAGGAGGAAGTAAGGGTCGTGCAGGTGACGCCACACGATCCCGGTGGTGACGTCTTTGTGCTCCTCAAACATGGCAGAGGGGATGAACGGGCGCCGGATGTCCCACACGTAGATGTTGTGGTCCACCATCATAGAGCAAGTGGCAATGTGGTGCTTGCATTCGGGCCTCCACTTGACCCGGGCTACGGAGGCAATCGTCTGCACGCAGTAGATCTCTTTGGCCCGGTTGGTGCTCATGTCCCAGACTTTCACCATCTTATCTCGGCCGCCGGTGGCCAACCAGCCTCTAACGAAAGGAAAAGACACAGATATCCCAAAGGGGCTTTTTTCGCGAGGCGAGTGGACTTTCTTGTTTTTCTTTGAAGACGTTTCTCTTCTCATCCAAGACCGAAGAAGCTTCTTGGATGATAAGCAGAACGTCGTCAGAGAAAAACAAGAAAGTCCAGTTGCCTTGTAAAAAAGCAACTTTGGGATAGCTATAACCTGGATGACTGAGAATCTCCATAGACATGAAAACACAAAGAGTTTAAGAGACTAATAAACAGTTCAGCCATAATCTCTTAAGTTGGTGCAGCAGGACTGGAGAACTAATCGTCTTCTAGGCAGGGGTCCCCAATCCCCGGGTTATAGACCAGCACTGGTCCGCGGCATGCCAGAAATCAAGGTCGCGCAAGCAAGCGAGGCCCCATCTGTGGGATGCACGCAGCATGTGAAACCTTCCTGTCCGCAGAAAAACCTCTCTCCACAGATCTGGTCCCTGGTGCCCAAAAGATTGGGCGGGGGCACTATTCTAGATTTTAGAGTTAGTTTTTGACTTATGATCTTAATTGAGCTGGGAATTACGATCATAAGTCATTACGGTCATAAGTCAAAGCATCATGTGACTAGTCCCACTTTTTTTTCTCCTTTTTTATGGCAATTGTTAGGGTAATCAATTTTCACCACTGAGTAGGGAGTTTTTGGCCGAAAATCAGAAGTAAACCCTGGGAACATAGCAAAAACATTGCAAATTGTGGTCATTGTGTCCACAGGACACTGCAAATGGCTGTAAAGGTGAGCCGGTCGCCAAACAAACACCCAACATGCAATCTTGAAATGGGATTTGCTTAATATCTGTATGGCTTGCTTAACAACGGTGATTTGCTTAACAACCACCTTAAAAATTGTAAAATCTAGCTGAGCCAGCAAGAACGTATGATAGAAATTCTAGTCCCAATAATGGTTGTAAGGTCCGAAAGGGCAAAATGATGTTTAAAATACAAAGAGCAACGTACACTTCCAAACAAAATGCCTTGCAGAGAAGTTGCACGAAGCGAGGGGAACTGAACAAGTGCTGAAAGTAGAATCCCAGATTGCTCTGTCAGAAGGTGCTCTGTCACCTGTCTGAGATGGTATAGGTCAGGGGTAGGCAACCTTGGCTTTTATGACTCGTAGACTTCAACTCCCAGAATTCCTCAGCCAGCATGGCTCAGCTTGGAAACCTCTCCCTTTCCCCTCAGCATGGCTGGCTCAGGAATTCTGGGAGTTGACGTCCACCAGTCATAAAAGAGCCAAGGTTGCCTACCCCTGCTCTAGAAGAAGAGAATGACCAACCAGTTCTATTATTGTCAAGCCCATGGGTCTTCAAACTTGGCTCTTTTATGACTCGTGGACTTCAACTCCCAGAATTCCTGAGCCAGCATGGCTCAGCTTGGAAACCTCTCCCTTTCCCCTCAGCATGGCTGGCTCAGGAATTCTGGGAGTTGAAGTCCACGAGTCATAAAAGAGCCAAGGTTGCCCACCCCTGGTATAGGTCCTCCTGCTTGAGCAGGGGGCTGGACTAGAAGACCTCCACGGTCCCTTCCAGCTCTATTCTAATTCTAAGGTGCTACGAAACAAGGCAGGCACAGAAAAGCATCCGAGACAGAAAAGACATCCACCCACCCCCCACAGGTGTTCATACCTGTCCTCTGGATGCCAATCACAACAGAATACAGGTCCGTTGTGGGCTGTGAACATCCTCTCGTAGCGATCAGGCCGGCGGATATCCCACAGTTGAACGTTGCCATTTTCAAATGTGGCAGCAAAGGTGAAGTAGTCACGGATACTAAACTGGACGTCACGCACGCTTTCCGACTGACCTGAAGGAGGTAGAAACCCCATCAGGTTGATCTTCTACCTCAGGGCTCTCCAAACGAGGCAACTTTAAGACTTGTGGGCTTCAACTCCCAGAATTCCCTAGCCAGCTGTGCATGCCACAAGTCTTAAAGTTGCCAAGTTTGGACAGCCCTGTTCTACCTGGTAAATCATCCAGGCAGTGTTTCCCCTCCAAAAACAGGTTTGGTCCCCAACCTAGTGCTCCTTCAAATGTGTTAGGCTCCAGTGCCTATAACCTTCTAGCCAGCCTGGGTGCTGGGGATTATGGGCAGTGAAGCCTCCTCATGACAAGGTCAGATTCTCCCGTTTTCAAAGGGACTTTTTGTGCAAAACAAAACAGTGAAATGATGCTAGATGGATTTGATCATCAGTAATACTAATGAACGATTTAAAGAATGAACGTTATGATGTAACCTTAGAGAAAGGGTTTAATGTACGTTTCATTTACATCTGCTATAAAAACAGTTGGAAGATCATAGAACACGGAATCATAGGGCTGCAAGGGATCTTGGAGATCTTCTAGTCCAACCCGCTGCTCAAGGCAGGAGTCCTGGTACCAAATGGTGGCCCAGTCTATTTTTGAAAACCTCCAGTGATGGAATACCCACAACTTCTGAAGGTAATCCATTGATTAATTGTTCTGTCAGGAAATTTCTCCTTACTTCTACGTTGGATCTCTCATTAACAAGCTTCCACCCATTACTTTTTGTCCTGTCCTCTGGTGCTTTGGAGAATAAGTCGATTCCCGCTTCTTCGTGCCATCCCCTTGAATGTTCAAATGAAGACTCTGCAACGTCTATACCACTTGAACCTCAAAAATTTGCTTTTTGGAACATTTCTGTCTTCAGTAGCATAAGATAATTCCACCCCATCCTATTCTACTCATGAAGAAGTCAGCAACGCCCAAACATGGATCCTTACCGGAGAAAGTGCTGACCGAATCCTTCTTCCGTAGGTCAAAGCACTTCATATAGCCATCCTGAGACCCGCTAAGGAGCATATAGACCTCAGTTGGGTGAAAGCACACCTTGTTCACCGTTCGCTTGTGCTCCATGAAAAGCTGGTCCTGTTTGTTCCGAGAGGGCTTGCCAAGGTTCCACGTCACCACCACCCCATTTGTGGCCGCCGTGGCCAGCAAATTCTCATCCATCTGGTGCCACACCACATCGGCACAGCTGAAGTTCAGAGATGGTTTGCGTCCGACACGCAAATTCAGTTTTTCCACAAACTGGTCTTCTTCGATGGAGTAGATCTTGAAAATGTTGCGTCCGGCCACAACCACTTGAGCGGCGTCACGGCACACGCTGATGGCATTAGAAGGGGCATCCAGGTGGCAGCACATGGTCCGTCCAGTGATTGTGTTGCCACCGAGAGCGGTGGTCACTCTGGCCATTTTCTCCATGGCACCTACAAATCCAAAGGTTTGTCCAAAGCAGCAGCAACAGCAGCAGCAACTGTAACACGAAACAACATTGCAATATTAAAAGCAGTCTGCGACAAACTGCAAGTCAACACTTCATACAGATAGATCTTTGATATACGACAATTGAGGCCCAAATTTCTGTTGCTAAGCAAGGCAGTTTTTAAGGGAGCTTTGCCCAAATTTACAACCTTATTTAGCTAGTTAAATGAATCAGGTGGTCCTTAAGCAAATCTGGCTTCCGTCATTGACTTTGCTTGTCAGAGGCTGGCTGGGAAGGTTGCAAATGGGGATCACATGACCCAGAAATAGATTGCAACTATCATAAATATCTGTCAGTTGTCAAGCACCCAAATTTTAATCATGTGAGGATGGGGGTGCTGGAATGGTGGTCACTTTTTTCAGTGCCATTGAATAGTTGCTAAACGAATGGTTGTTAAGTCAAGGACTACCTGTGTGCACTTCTACTCAACTATAGAAAGAAATGGGAAAAATCTATCAAACAGTGATTGCCTTAAAAAAAAAAAAAGTAAATGAAAGCAAGAATTAGAGCAGAAAATTGCTATTTGCTGCAATCTATCTGCACAGAATTCTTAAAAAAAAAACCCTACTTCTGTATGTTCTTTATAATGAAGAACAATGAGCATCTGGGCTGCCAATAGTTTAGTTCATCTATATTTTATATATTATTAGATTTTGATCCCTTTATTACTTTATAATAAGGCAGCGAATATTTAATCTTCCCCCTCCTATTTTCCCCACAATAAGCCCGTGAAGTGGGTTGGGCTGATGAGAGGGAATGATATACGAACTCGTTGGTCTGGTCTAAAAGGAAAATAAAAATAATAAAATGCCGCTGCTGGTTAAAATGCACGTGTGCAAATTTGGGTGCTTGTCTTACAAACCCGTGTGTCCGCCTCAAAAGAAAATAAGATCAAAGATCGCTGCTGGCTAAAAGGCAAGGGCGCAAATACGGGCGATTTTGATTTGCAAATCCATGGATCTGGCCAAAATGAAAATAAATATAAAAATTAAGGCTGGTTGCTATGATTCCATGCTTATGCGCATGCGTGAGCATTCTTTCCTTATACCAAAGGCACGTGAGGGGTCGGTCTAGCAAACAAGACCTCGACGGGGTTTCCGAGGGCGGGACGGTTGGGAGGGAGTACTTCCGGCCCCGGCGTCCGAGGCAGGAAGCTCCACTCAGCGTCAGCCACGCTCTCTTAGAGGCGGCATTTTCTCTTCCTCACCTCACGCGACGGCCTCCACTGGTCTTCCGCACCGGAGCAAGGCCGCAGCCCCCAGGCCACCTCGCCACGGGGCAGCCACACTCCTTCCCGGCAGGCCCAACTCGGGCCAAGGCTCGGCCGCCATCTTGGATTACCCGTCAGGCCTTTCGGGCGCTTAAGCCGGAGGCCTTCTTTCCCGGCCGCTTCCCCTCCTCCTCCTCCTCCTCTCCCCCCTCCCCTTTGGAAACGTGACGTAGTCTGCGGGAGGTTGTAGAACAGGGTGGATCATACCATTGCAGAACCCGATGCGGGGGGGGGGACGGCGGCATCTCGAGTTTGCATTGGATTGATCCGTAGAAACAGGAAGTTGGTTGGAATTGCGCAGGCGCTGCTTTTCTTCTTGCAAGGCTCCAGTAGAGCTGGAGAAGCTTCTTGGATGAGAAGCGAAACGTGTTCAAAGAGAAAAAAGAAAGTCCAGTTGCCTCGTGAAAAAGCACCTTTGGGAGCTCCAGTAGAAAGGTAGCAATGCAGCAGCGGTTGTCAGAGACATTGTTTTATATATACATATATATTAAATGTATATGGCTGCCCACTTCAGGCTTGTGACTCTGGGCAGCACCTATATTGTGATAATTGCCCAGCAATAATTATGCAATTATAAAAATAATATTTACATATATATATATATATGTAATACACACCTGTGTATAATATACAGCTATATTAAGTACAATTGCTAATTATATTTGGGGCCTGTTTATCCAACACAGCTCAAACTGTGGTTTATCGAATCAGCCATTGGTGATCAACCATAAGCTATGATAGCCAGGCTTTAAGAGCCAGTTTTATGCATCAGCCTGAACTAAAGCCAAACAAGGTGCATTATGGTTTAGAGTAGACCCAAGTTTTGCAACCTTGCCAACTTTTGAGATGTATGGACCTCACAATACAATTGAGCTATTTGCTGGGGGAAGTCTGGGAGTTGTAGTTTATTTATGAAATTTATTGGCTGCTCATCTCAACACAGGGTAAAATGTGCACCTATTAAGAATGATTAAAGTCAAGAAATTCTGGTTTAGCTTGTTGTCTTCACCCAGTGAGGGTGCTCAGGAACTGCATTCACACAACAAACAGAACTGAGTCATCCCAGTTTATAGATTCAAACAAATCAGCATTCTACAGATATTCACCACTATTACAAATTCAAACAATTCTTTGAATCTTAAACCAGGGAAAGAAATATAAACCCAAAATTCATTGGCCATTTGACGCAACAGAGAAACCCACTAAAATAAATAAACAAGAAACTGAAAGAACCAGATTTGCAGATCGGGTTAAATAATTACAAAGAAAGATTAAATTTGTCATGCAGTGCAAACAACCCCAAACAAAACAATCTGCTAATCTTTCTCTCTTAATAATCCTGCGGCACAAAACCAGTCAGGTTGGATTTTGGCTTGCCCAGAATCCCTGCTTTTATGGCGCTCCTCACAATGATGAATTATAAATTATAATTGTAGGGACTGTGGAAGAAATTAAGCAATATGAATATTAATAAATATTTTACTCTAGGGTTCCTGAACATAGCAAGATTTTTTTTTAGGTGTAGCTACCATTAGCTTTCCCTCTCCTCTGCATTAGGGGTTAGATTTGTGGTCATTAGTGATCAGTCAGGCAATTAGAAGTAGCAAAAAGTTGTGGTTTGATATTTAACAAGTGTGACGCAATGTAGAGAATCTATTTTAAACATAACCAATAACATCACAGCATAGTAATAAAAATGTGGTTTAAAAAACCTGAATATAATTTATATATATAGTATTTCAACAAAGCTTTTATTTTGCTAATACAGTACTGTAGAAGGACAAGCAGAACCTGGGGGGGGGGGGAGAAATCAAAAGAGGAATCAGTCTGGAGTCATTACATTCTCACAAACGGTCCAAGTCCAATTTACTTGAATTCCAATAACTCTTTATCTACTGCCAATTTAGTGCTGATGTTTAGTTGACTAGTTTCTTGCGTTTAGGCAAGAGCAATAAATCAGATTAATTCAGTGGTGGGATTCAAATAAGTGAACAACTGGTTCTCTGCGTGGATGCCGCTTCCGGAAGTCCATTCTGGGCCTGGGCAACAAAAAAATAGCTACCGGTTCTGCCGAAGGGGTGCAAATCGGCTGAATCCCACCACTGTATTAACTGGAACTTAACATGTGATCCTGATTCTTTGCACCCCACAAATACTGAGATGCAATGACATTATTGTGCAAACTGTAGTCTATAACAACCCAATTTTGTGTAGCTTGGTAAGAGTGTACTCTAAATGGCTGAATGGAAAGCTCAACACTTTGGGGAGCAGGGGAAAAAAAAATAAAGGAATCGTTCTGAAATGATACATCCAGTTGGTCCTTAAAACCTCAAACTATAACTCCGCTATCCCACTAGATCAGGGGTAGGCAACCTTGGCTCTTTTATGACTCGTGGACTTCAACTCCCAGAATTCCTGAGCCAGCATGGCTCAGCATGGAAACCTCTCCCTTTCCCATCAGCATGGCTGCCTCAGGAATTCTGGGAGTTGAAGTCCACGAGTTATAAAAGAGCCAAGGTTGCCTACCCCCTGCACTCCTAACATAACTCTGCATTGATATTGGGGGGATTGGTGTATAAAAGATGCTTTTATATTAGGGATTCCTTCTTTGATGCACTTAATTTCTGTATTGCATTGGCTGCTTTAAGACCTGTGGATTTCAACTCCCAGAATTCCCCGGCTAGCCACGCCAGCTGGGGAATTCTGGAGTCGACATTCACAGGTCCTAAAGCTGCCGATGTTGAGAAATAGGAAACCTATTATGGTTTTCTAAAGTGAATTAGAAACTTCTGTTGGAAAAAATTGTCACATATACTGTGCGATTAATACACACATATCACAGAGGTATAAAAAGAACCCCAACACCAGATGGCTTGTGTTTTTATTATTTTTTTTAATATATATTTTTATAAACAGATCACATGGTAAAATAGCACAAGAAACACTTACCAAATATAAGATTATATCTTCAGAATATACAGGAGAAGGAGGCTTGTATGTACAATAAGAAAATGGTTTTCAGAATTCCCCCCTCCCTTTTTTTTCCCTCTCTAAATAGCAATCTGAAATATCACAGCTTCTTTCAGTAGCTTTAAATAACACTTTGGACCAGCGGACACTTTAAGCAAGGGTGCTGAAGAGACTTCTGGAGCCCAATTCTCGACAAAGGTCTCTTGTGCAAAACTGGTGGGAATGGAAAAGCAGTTCCTGTTTGGGCCAGGAGAACTTGCACAGAGAAAGAAAAAATAAAAATAACCCCGAGGATTGTGCCCTGTCTTTGGACCAAGATCTCGACGCAACCCTTGCAGAAAATGGAGTCCACTCCCTAGAACAGCTTGCATTCTTCCTTTTAGAAAAACCGGTGACTTTATGTCAGCTTCTCTTCCTTTAATACAGAATAACAGAGTCGGAAAGGATCCTGGAGGTCTTCTAGTCCAGCCTTCAGGAATAAGACCACATCCTTTATTTGGGCATCCAGCCCGTGGAGTAAAATAGGTGTAAATTGGGGGCTAGCACGGCGTACAATACAAGGATCAACTTTGTAAGGAGAGATGGACAACATCAAAAATTCAATAAATAAATATAAATAAAAAAAATAATAAAAGCAGGTAAAACTCTTTGCCCCGGACGGCTTACTCAAACCCCAACCTTAATACAACTGGTCCTCGACTTACAACAGTTCGTTTAATGACCGTTCGAAGTTACAACGGCCCTGGAAAAAAGCGACGGATGGTGGTTTTTCCACATTTACGACCGTCGCGGCATCCCTGTGGCCACGCGATTAAAATTCAGACGCTCGGCAACTGGTTCATATTTAGGACCGTCGCAGTGTCCCCCTGGGGTCACGTGATCCCTTTTTGCGACCTTCACAGCCGTGTGACTAACAGCTGCGGAGATTCCCTTAACAACTGTGGCAAATGGGCCAAATACTCCCTTAATAAAAGTTAGCAACATAAATTTTGGGCTCAACTGTGGCCATAAGTCAAGGACTGCCTGTGTATTTAGCTTTATACAACACGCCAGGCCCCCTCTCTTGGATCTGTTCTGCGGCTGGACTTCGGACAGGAGAGCTCGTTGAAAGATTTTGAGTCTCCGACCGTTCAAATGCCAAGGCCGTTCCAATCCTTCGGAAAGCGCCGCCGTCTTGAAATGGAGCCGAAACCATGCCGAAATACCGGAAGCGGCGATGGGAGGCTTAAAATAGGACATTTGGCATCTGAAACGTTTGCATGCCCTTTCTCACCACTGCTGCCTGAATTTTGCCTGCAGAAATGCGGTGGGTCGAACCTGAGAGATTCAGAACACTCTGCTGCGCATCGCAATCCTTTTCACTTGTCATCACTTCGAAATTCACAAAAAGGGGCATCTTTAAGTTTCATCGTAGGGAGAGCTCAGTGGTTGAGTGCCAGTTTTGGAAGTTTGCTAATTTTGTAACGTTGGGCGATCTCTCGATGTCAGTGGGGTTTTTTGAAACTCAGCCACTGGCTCGGGAATTCTGGGACTTGAAGTCCACGCCTCTTAAAGTGGCTGAGTTTGAAAAACATTGAGTGGGTTGCCAAGAGTAGATACCAATTTGATGATATATAATTGTTGTTGTTTTTTAAAGTTGGGAAATTTTGAAAGGACTGGATGGTCCCATCGCGTAGGATAACAAAATAACTTTGCCTTCTAATCGACTTGAAAATGGATTGGATTCTTACCTAATCATAAATATGCAAAAGATGTCATTATTACCATGCCATTAATATTTATGGAAGCTGGGGGAGACAAAATCTGAATTAAGAATATCTGGAATCACGCCTCAGAGCTTATAACCATCCCATTCCTGCCTCTCATTCATCCATTGTGATCTGGAAACTACAGTAGTGACCACAATTGTGGAAACCTTTTGGGGAAAGTGTACAGTAGAAATGCCACCTTTGGTTAAGTTTCCACCCGTTTTTCTTCTAATTTCTTTATAACCGTAGCCTTGTTCACTTAATAATACTATTTTACATCGCTTTCTGGGTGACCAGTCAACTCTTTGCATCATGACTTTAATTTTATGACGTTTTACAAGCTCACTAAATGAAAGAACACAAAAAAAACCCCAACCAACTTGATGGCGATCACACAACACACTGACAAATGTCCTTCTCTCATTTTCAATACGTGACATCAATAACTGAATCCTACTGTGATTTGATTGGCTCATTGCCAAAACAAGATGACACCTGATTGGCTCTCTAAACACTCATGCTCATTGGCTATAATCAGATGAAGGAAAGCTACTTGATATCAACCTGAGCAAGTTGTGCTTCCTTTTTCTGGTTATTTGGCTATAACTTTTCATAGAATGCAGTACAGATAATTGAACAAACTTTGTTGCATTACATTCTCGATTAAATTATCTTTCCATTGATATATAATTTTATGGTACTATTCTCCCCCCAAAA